AATTGAAAATATAGTCGTTATTGGGTCCCACTTGTCTAATAAAAGTTAACAATAACGACTAGTTTTTCAATTTTAATTCGATTTTAATCTCTACTGAACACGTCAAAAATGTGGTGCTAAAAACAAAAATTGTTGTGTGAATGTATTTTAAAAACATCTTTTTACACTTTTGATCCCTATCGTATTGAATTTCTAGGGATTGAGGACTTATCCTTTTAATTTTAGCAAAACTATCCCTCAATCAACATTTTTTTTTTTAATGCAAGATTGATCCTTTCTATCCACAACCGTCAAATGATCACAAGGACTGCACATGCCCTTTTTCAAAAGGGCGATTTTATACAATCACTTAAAAATAACATTTAAAATACAATAATTTCTTAGATTTCAGTTGAACTTAAAAATCGATAGAAATTTCCTGTTTTCCGCAACTTAATACTTTAGGTACTTTTTCCTTAATTTTAACCTGCATAATGAATGATCTCATAAAATACCCACTATAACATCCTCAATGCTCAAGTCATCTTAATATATGTTTTGATCTCAAAAGAATTATTGAACCACATAATATTATTTGAACTCAAATTTTATCTTTTATGCTTTAATATTATTACAATTTCACTAGTGTCCCGAAAGAGTATCATCATTTTAAATACTCAGAATGTTGTGAGATTCACAAGAAGTATCAATCTTGTACTATATCGAAAAATTGTCTCTATGGATGGTCAAATATCGTACAATAAGATACCTAAATTGAATCGCAATGTGTAGTCCGCGAGTCAGATAATTCCTTCTCTATTATTCTTTATTAATCGGACAAGAATTTTATTAAACAACTTTCAATAGCTTTGGCCAAATTCAAGCTTGTATTGTTAGACTTAATTATGATTTGATATGATTTGGGGACCACCACCCTATAATCATGTTTATATACAAGGTTAATTAGAATTCTAACAACCCTAAATTTATAAATTTTATTTGGTTGATATAACTCTAGATCATTGTCGATAATTTAAATATGTTGAGGGGTCTATAGAACCTCATAATATTTGTTGTGATGCCACTCTTGTTACGGTCCAATTTTATTTTTATGTAAGCTAAATAGAAATGGCAATTTAAAATTTTGGGTTTTCACAAAGAATTCTAAAATTAAAAGTGTTATAAACTAGAAAGAAAAAGAGGAGAAAGTAGAAAAGTCAATAAATTTGTGTGTGTATTATTGAGAACCAAAGTTCCACATTTATTGGAAATGATTAACGATACAATGGTAATAATTTATGAGGCTGCAGGGGTACAATTGTCATTTACTAATAAATTTACCATTTACAACACTCCTCCTTGAATGACATATTACAAAATATCTAACTCGTTAAAACCTTGTTAAGAAAATTCAATGGGACAAAACTTGAGTTAAGGAAAAAGAGTACAACTGCTTCCCCTGATTTCAATTCTTGTATCAATTCATCATTATTTTGTATGTCAATGACTTCAATATTGCAATTTTCGGTTAAGTATATCTCATATTGTCTTGTATAGTTTTTTAAATAACACTATCTTCATACGAGATATTTATCAATATTGCAATTCCTCACTATATGATGCTGTACATCATATAAAAAACGTTGTCGACAACTTTTTCCTTTTCGATTATATTCTTTTCTTTTAACAACATAAGTTATTGGGATGTCTCAAATTTCAATATATTAAGTACCTGAACCTCTTATGATGTTTTATAATTTGTCATGTCCAAATACTTATCAAGAAGATATGTCTCTTTAATGAGACTATATTTGATAATTGTTCCATTTTCGTTTAGAGATTTTTTTGTATTAGAATTCAATATTATCACGCTTCAAACGTGTCATAAATTTATCAAATATAATATTAACCAATATTGCTCTAGAATGTTAATTTGAAGTGAAGCACTTAAATTTGGTGTGTGAGATATTATTGATCTTTTTTTGTCAATAAATACATTTAAATGAATTATCATTCGAACTTCGGATTCGAATTGTCTTTTGCGAAGATTTAGATATGATGCATTTGTATATTACTACTCAACGATGAACGTACGTTGCACGTTACTATGAAATGTTTTATAAGTATTGTAAAAATAACAATTAAATATTCGTGAATATTTATTAATTTAGAATTAATGCCAATGAATATATTTGTGACATTAAATGTTAAATCATTTATTTAATTTTCAATTTAGTAAAATTGGACGTTAATTAATATACATAGATGTGAATAATGAAATGCATTATTGAATGCGAAATTCTAATTAACTTATAATTAGAATTAATAATAGTAAAATGTATAAATGAAAATGAGTATTAATTAAATGAATGTGAATATTAATTAATTAAGAATTAATAATAGGAAATTTATACATTAATGAAAGCACACAGATGTAATGAATCAGTCAAATGTATGTGTAAATTGATAGTAACTAAATGATAAAACAAATTAAGCCCGTATTTGATCAAACAAATTTTCCTTCATTTTTAACCACACATTCTCTATCAATCTACTATTTTAAAATGCATTCTACACTAAAAAAGGGTTCAAACCGGCGTGAAATACATATTGAAAAACGAAAAGTAAGGTACTATCGAAATAATTGAGTTATGATATGGAAAGAATTGTCCAAAAAAGATTTTCACTTGATGTGATATTTAATATATTATAGATTTTCAGCTTCTTAATTTCTTCTTCTAATGCTGAGAAAATTGTTCAATCAAATTGACAATCAGTAAACCGCGTTATAAAATATCCCCCGTTAGAGCTTGAGATATTGTATAAAGATTCAATCTAATCATTTATTTATCAGCATTCTTTACTTTTCATTTCAGTGCATTATGTTATATCAATTTTACATATTGTCAAAATAATTACATGGAAAAATTAGTTTCTAGCCATAAGTCAATTATAACAAAGAGAACTATGATATTGTTATAATACGTAATAGCATTTTCTAAACAGAAAATGGGAAGTATTTTGTTCTCAATTAAAATAATTGGAATTGTTTAACAAACAAAAGTGTTGGGCCATGTTTGAGCCTTTTTTTTTTTTGTGTAGAATGTATTTTGAAATAGTCAATTGATGGAGAATGTATGGTTAAAAATAAAGGAAAATTTTTTAGGTTGTTTGTAATATTATTTTATTGAAAAATGTGTAATTGAAAAAAGAAGAAGAGAAAAACGCATTTTGAAAAGAATGGAGATCAATCAAGGTCTTAAATTATTTATCGACATCTCAACAACACTTATTAAAAGGTTGAGATTTATGCTCATTAGTATTAACATGACACATCATCTTGATTGTATAATCTAAAAATTATTCTCATAGTTTAGAATTGAGCATTAATTTCACAAACATCAGGTTGCGAGCACCATGCAATCATCTTGTAGATATATAAATAATATTTAGATAGTCAACGTGGAGGGTGACGGGACCCCATATATCACCCTAATTCATTTTCAAAAATATAGAGAATTCAATCTTTATTTAGCTAATGATGATTAATGAACAATAATAGAGAGAACAAATATCATATAGGAGTTCATTGGATTGAAGAATTTTCAGATTCTTCATTGAATGTTCATTTGAATTTTCAATTTCGCATAATTATTGATTCAGTAATGGTTCAACTGGTCATGCCAAACAGTAAAATCAAATTGAATTATGGTTCAATATAATGTTTGTTTTAATTGTACCACACATTTTAAAATTTTAGTATGTTTCTCTTTAATTTAA